GGGTGGCCGGGTCGTCCTGTCCGGACTCACCCTGACGCCCCCTCCCCCTCAGGTACCTCTTCAACTGCGGCGAGGGCACGCAGCGCGCCATGCAGGAGCACAAGTAAGTGGGGCCGCCCGGAGGGCCGCCCCGATTTTCCACCGCGGGGCTGCATCAAACTCTGCTCACACCCACCCACCCCCGTCTTGCTCCTCAGGCTGAAGATCTCCCACCTGGACAGCATCTTCCTCAGCCGGGTGGCCTGGGCCAACGTCGGAGGGCTGCCAGGTGAGTGGGGGCTGGCTAGGTGCAGACTGTCACCTCCTCTCACCAGTCCCAGCCGCAGGCCACAGCTGTCTAGGCCAGAGGTGGTGGCTTTGTAAGCTGCCCAGTGGATGCTGCTATAGGGTCTCTTACGTCACGATGAAGAGAGGAAAAGCACTGTCAGAGTAGCTGGATTGGGCGTGGGGCTCTGCAGTGCTTTCAGCTGCAGCAAGGGCTCTGTGACAGTGCATGTGGACATGTGGTGCTAGAGGCACTGCCTTCCCAGCTTGCATGGCTTTCTCTTCCCAAAATCTTCTCAGGTAGAAGGCATTGCCAGTGTTTCATTACCAGCAGGAAGCTGTTTGTGAGTCTGACTAGTCTGAGTTCAAAGAGATCTACAAAGGTTTCTGGTCCACCCTTGTCCTTAAAGCAGAGTGAGATTAGAACAGATCTCTTAGGATCTTGTACATTAACATTCTGGAAATCTCCAAGAAAAATGGAGATTCACAATCTGTTCAGTTAACCTACTTCAAATTGTGGCTATCAAGATTTCTAGATACTTTCTTCACCAGTGGAGGCAAGTGACTTGTTGAAACTGCCACAAAGCTGAGGCAAAACTGAATTTGGATCTGAGTTTGGTACTGGCCTTCTTGGAGAGGCCCAGCACTGCTGGGTGCTGAGAGGGATCTTCCTTGGGTGATCTACCAGCAGTTAGCAGGTCTGTGATAAAGCTGTTTCTCTGCTTTCTTTTAGGTATGATACTCACGTTAAAAGCTATAGGGCTTCAAAGATGTGTTTTCCTAGGGCCACCAAAGCTGGTAAGTACAGGAAGCTTGCAGAAGAGAGAGCAAACCCCTCAAATGTTAAAGCTTACCTTGGAATTGACAGTGTAGGTATCAAAGGAGTGAATCATTGTACAGGTGTAAAATGCTGGTCTGAGTTCATGCCAGCCCAAAGGTTTTGCCAGAAGGGCTCGCATTAAAAAGCAAATCTCTTCAGTTACACACAGGACAACATCAGAATTCTGCTCCTTAAAACTGTCTTGTCAGCTCATATTCTGGTGAATCATGTTTTGGAAATAGGGTGTCCTTTGTTCTCCTGTCTGCTTCCTCCCCGTTTTCTTTAATAGAGGCTTGCTCTCTGATCTCCTGCTTAATGCAATCCAGCCATGTCTAGGCTGAAAATTTCCAATCCTCAGCATTGGTTTATTTCCTTGCCATATCTGCTGACTAATTGTATTGACGGAAGGGATGAGGAGAGTGGTTCTTTATTTTCCTTTCTATTTCTAAATGAGTAATACCCACTGGAGGTGGGAGGCCTACCCAGGCTGTCCTGTGCTGCCAAGTTTTGGCCTGACTGGACGTTGAGCCTTTGACTTCACTGAAGGTAACTGTAACTCCTGAAAGTGGTGCTTCTGATTGCACTGCTTGGGCATGGCCTCCTGATACACTGTCTCTTTTGCAGCAAAACTACTTGAAAGCAATTCGACTCTTCCCTGGGCCCCTAAAAAGGATGGATTTAGGTATGTAGGGCAGGGATGTGCTGCTAATGTGAACTTGTAGTTTCTTATTGTTACAGCTGTAGCCAATGTTACAATGAACAGTAACAACTTCAGAATAAAGGCCTCCGGTTTAGATCCACTTAAGTTTTAAACGTTTGTTTTGACCTAATACACTGTTCAAATCCATCACAAGAACTGCTTGGAAGTACCAGCTCTGTTTCTGGTAGGCTTCTCCCAGTCTGTCTGGCTAGTAGGCAGCATTTGGTTTTACAGCACTGTAAAGGCCATTTGTTTCCAGAGTCTGCCAGTGAACTTGCTTACCGTGGTATCATGGACTACTTTTTGTGAACGATGGGCTTTTAACAACCTTAATTATTCATTGATCTTTGCAGTCGGGCAGAGAAAGGAAAGGGGGACTTTCAGCAGGTTTTGTTTAAGAAAGAGAAAAGAGATTTTCCTGATTAAAATTCTTGTGGTGTATGTATCTCTTCTTATGAACTTGCTGATGCTGGTTTCTGATCTCTTTCCAGCTGTGCAATTGCACACAGAGCCTGACTATAAGGACGAGACGATGACAGTCTACCAAATACCTCTTTCAGGTGAGCTTGTGATGCTGTAATCAGACAGGAGAAGCACTTGTTTAGTAACTGTGCTTAAAGTGGTTAAAGGAGCAGCTTCTGTTTGCAAGCCTGAACAAGGAGACGTTTACTAATTTGAATGTTCTTCTCAGGAGAAGGATCTCTTTCAAAGAAACAAGAAATGTTGAGTCAGGGCTTTGGTTTGTTCCTTTAGATGTGGGTGTATAGAATGACATGTGAAACATCACTAGATTCGCCTTTCTTGACTAACTGAGTTTTCTTGCCGTTGGAAACGGTGATACTTAGAGTACAGGCACAGATTTGACAAGAGTTTAGCAGTTTTGAGAGGGACTGAAGGACTTGGATGATGAGTGGATCCTGAATGAGATCCTGATGAGACTATACAAGTGCAAATCAGACTGGAGGGGAAGAGCTCTCTACTCTCTGGTGCAGTTTAAACATGGCTGTGATACTGCTCATGCTTTTCTTGTCTATTCCTTTTGACTGAGTGACCTTTGTGCTGTTTTATTCGATTTGGAGCAGAAAAACAACTAGCTACTGGAAGTACATTGCCTCAGAGTCCTGAAGCATCAACCCAAGGTGGAAATAGCCCTAGGAGGGGCATAGGGCCTGGATCCCCAAGAGCTGCACAGCAAAGCTTAGAAGAGGGCGAGGAAAAAGAAAGCCCAAAGAAAACAGGTGAAAAAAGTGGAATGACCTCTTTAAATTTAATGAAATAGTGCCAGATTAAGGATATGCATTTATCTGCTGAGCTGTTTGCTCTCTGGAAGTGAGGTCTGTAGAGAAAATCGGCTGAAGGACTACATGGAGCAGAAAGAGTTCTGGTACTTCAGAAGCTGATGCAGAACTACAAGGCCTAGAAATTGGATGTGATTTCTATTTTGGGTATAATTAGTCCCTGGCTTGACTGAGTGCTCCAGACATTGTAATTTAATTACAAGTGGATGTTGGGGTTGATTATTTTTCAGTTTTGGGCTTGATTTTGGTTTCTTTTAGCTGAAACCATGGGCTCTCTGGCCTTAGGTGCTTGTAACATTTTGCTTTTAGGCTCCAGGTTGGCTGGATGATGATGTTCCTATTGGTGCATTAGCAAACATTGATACGTTTTGACTTTCAGAAAAATTACAGTCAGTGATGATTCTGAGTAGTTTTGCTTTCTCTTACAGGTGGTGAACAGAAATGTGCAAGCAAGCATCCTGACCTGGTGATGGCTTTCCTTTGTAAAGTAAGCTTGGACACAAAGTTCTCTATATCAATGTAGAATAGTATATAGAATAGAAGGGAACTACAACAATTATTATCCAGCTGCCTGACCACTTCAGGCTGACCAAAAGTTAGAACATATTATTAAGGGCATTGTCCAAATGCCTCTTAAACACTGACAGACTTGGGGCATCAGCCTCTGTAGGATGCCTGTTCCAGGGCTTGACCACCCTCTTGGTAAAGAAATGCTTCCCAATGTAATTAGTACATTTCATCTTGATAAATAGATTTAATTGGAGATAGTGTTTTCAAGCAGGACTTTGAAGCTATTTTGTGTTTCTACTTTTCAAAGGTCAGAGTAACTAGTATAAGTAGAAATGTGTGAAAACTAGAGACATTTTTTTAGAAACGTTCTTTATGGAACAGCCAATTGAGAGTATACAGGTTCCATTATTGCTTAATGCTTACAGTAGGGAAGTATATCCTGCTTACTTGGCTAAAGAAGGGAGCAAGAAGCAGCAGTGTGATCTTGGAAACCAGAAAGTCTAGTAAAAGCTTTCTCGGGGTAAAGCAGCCTAGTGGCTGTGGAACTGAAAAGGGAAAAAAAAACACCTTAGCTTGTGGGGAAACACTTTAAGTACGTGGATCTTGTTTCCTGGCTTAGTTTGGCTGGTAATTCTGTTTTATTTAACTCTCTTCAGATTCACCCAAAGAAGGGAAAATTCTTAGCAGCTAAAGCACAGGAGATGGGCCTGCCAGTGTGAGTACAAGAGCCCAGCCTGGGGGATGGGGCAGCACCAGGCTTGTTGATGTTGGCAAGCTAAGTATTTCTATGGCCTTGTTTTCAGGGGAACTCCAGCCATTCTTCCCATAATTACAGCTCTCAAAAATGGAGAGAGCATCACTTTTGAAGGCAGAGAGGTAAGATGTATCTGTGCTTTCTGCTCTTGCTTTGCCCTCCTTCTCTAGGCTCCTAGGGTGACAATCATTTGTGCAGAATGTTTTGCCTACCAGTAGTTATTGGGACATGGTGCTTTGGTTTCTTTTTACACCCATTCTTGAGGCAAGGGTGGGCGATGGTTGTCTGCCTATTCCCTCTCATCCCTGCTAAGAGGTTGCCATGTGTTTTGCTGATTTTGAGCTTTCGGTGGCTACTTTTGGTTAGTCACGGGTCCCTGTTCCAGCCCCAGGCTGTTGCTGAATGTGGCTCCCATGAGGAGCATGTCTGGGGCTGTCGCAGGTGTATGAGTAAGGGAGTATACGATGAACTGAGTTCATTTATGAGAAGGGCTTCATGTCTGCTCTTTGTCAGAGCTTCTTCATCTCCCCTTCCCAAAGCAGACACAGGCCTGGAAGTGAACTCGTGGAGATAATCCCTGCATATTTTAAATCTGGAGTTTGAATGCCTGTGAAGCTTTGACTCCCTACTTGCTCTATTTGCCCCTGTTAGACCAAAAGAAGCTCAGTGGTTCCTGTGGGCGGGGTCTTAATCTCTCAAACACTAGTCTGAAGTGAGAGGTAGAGCCAGCTCTGGCCTTGTCCCAGATGATCTGTAAGGGTAGATTCTAACCTGGGAGATAAAAATGAGAATTTCACAAAACATTTTTTTCTTAAGCACACTTCTGCTACCAAATAAATCTGCTGTGGGAACCTAGAATTCCCTTCCTTATGTTAGGTTGTGGTTTTCTCTGAGACCAGGGCTGGGATTTTTTGTGACACAGCAAAATGCAAACTTGTGGTAATGAGAACAGAAAGGGGAAAACGAGTTGCACTGACTGTGTTTGCTGAACGTTGAAAATGCCTGCTTGGAGGTGCTGTGGGCTGGCTGATAGACCAGCTGCTGAAAGAGTGGGACATACTGATGCAAGAAAGGCTACGTATAGCTGGAGCATGGTGTGATCTTTGTGTTTTTGTCTGCAGCTCTTTCCTGAAGAACTGTGTACCCCGACTGATCCTGGCCCAGTGTTCATCGTGCTGGAATGCCCTCGTGAGGGCTTTGTGGATGCTATCTGTGAAAATGAGACCTTCCGAAGGTAGCAGGGCTGGGTGACCTGCAGTGTTTGAGGGAAGACATCTCCGCTGAGCTTTGCCAAAGAGAACTTCTTGTTCTGTTCTAGATGAGTTGCTTTTTGTGGCTGATCTCTGAGCTGTGTGGCACTGTTAAGAAGCTAGAAACTCAAGAAGGGACTGGTGGTGCATTTTGAGCCCTTCAGGAATGGCAGGACTGTGCAGGAGCTGTGGATTCAGTAACTGTGATAGGCCTGTCTTTCCCCAGGGGCCTCCAGAGAAGGAAATGTGCACTGGTGTCCTGCTGGGGAGCAATGTGGTGGGGAAACTGCCGCTTCACTATGCGGCAGAAGCCTGGACTGCACGTGACATCTCTAGGGCTTGTGCAGAAGTTTGTTAGGCTTCTGAAAGGCTCTGCAGATATTGTTGCTCTTGAAGAAGAGGAACTGCCCTGGGGAGGAGAGTGGAGATGTCAGCAAATGATGAGCTTGAGCCTCATGCCTACCATGATGTGGAGCCTAAAGCTCCTGGGCTGTGGTCTTAAGATCTGTGCTCTGGCTGCTTCAGTGAAGGCAACTGATAGCACCAAGATGGGAGAGGGGTGAGGATGCCAAGGTGATGGAGCACTGAAGCATAGGTATTCTTTCTGTATTTGAATGTGCTCCAGGTACCAGGAAGGACTTCCTGAGAACCAGGTGGCTCTGATCATTCATATGACTCCAGAGTCAGTGCTCCGAGACAGCCGCTACCAGCAATGGCTGGAAAGGTATGTACGTGGTCTTCTGATTACTTGGCTTCATGTCACTGTTGGGGAGCAGCATGTTCTTATGGTGCAAATGTTCTTCCCAGAGTAGAAATAGCTATTGGATGGCAGCAGGGCTTTGCTGGCTCAGATGAGATTTTAGCTCATGGCTCAGGTGTGCACACATGCCTGACTCTAACATAGGGCTGAAGCTGTTGTGCATTTTATTGTCCTCTTACAGATTTGGACCTGGAACTCAGCACTTGGTGCTCAATGAAAATTCCTCCGCAGTGCACAACCCACGTAGCTACAAGACCCAAACTCAGCTGAACCTCATCCACCCAGAGATCTTCCCTCTGCTTACCACATACCAGAGCAAGGTAGGCCAGGCCCTGCTTGCCTGTGTACCTCGTGCCCCTGAGCAAAGAGGGTGTTTAATGTCACTCTTCTCCATGTAGGAAGAAGAGGCTGTATGTAGTGTGCCAATTGTGCGAGGAGAGTGTCTCTTGAAATACCACTTCAGACCACAACAGGAGTGGCAGAGGTCAGTGGGAATCTTTGGCTTAACCAGTTTTTGGGTGTTGGCTTGAAGCAGCTTTTCAGTGTGAGTCTGTACTGAGGGAAGATGGTGTGACAGCATCCTTTGCAGACTCTTACTGACATCTATGCTGGGGTAGCTGCCAAGCTATCAGCTGTGTTTTGAGGGGTATGTCCCTGTCCCTGTAAGTCTCAGGCAAGGTGTAGGACACAGATGAGTCAAGCACTGAGAATACCACCTGGCCAGTGGTTTGGAGTGTTGTTTCTGTCCCTCATTCTTGTAGCCTCACGTGCTTCTCTATCCTTTGCTTTGACTTCCTGTGTTGCGCATCCAGCCATGTCTGTGGCAGGGAGAGACTTTTTGAGGAGCCTGGTGAAAGTCTTGCCAGGCTTTCTGGGTCTTCAAATGGCATCAGAGCTGAAAGCCTCAGGTGGTGAACAGTTGCAGACTTCTCCACTGGTGCTTGCTTTGTAGGCAAGTAGGTGAAGCTGAAGATCTTAAGGGCAGGTGGCCATGTGGTGCAAGGGGACACCAACGAATGGCTCAGATTTCTGCTTCTGTGGAGCAGAATAGGAAGAACCAGATGCCAAGAAGAGTTTAGGTTTCTCTGCTTAAGGTGTCTGAATGCCTGTAGTACTGTGTATGTTCTGACCAGGACACAGGTCCCTTATGCTTTTGAGTGGTGCCTGGAGCCTTTTTGGGAAGTTGTTGTTCTTCCAGTAGTCTCTGTGCTGCCTTGCAGTGCCCTCTGGTGTCTGGCAGCTCTGGGTCTGGGCAGCACAGCACAGCATAGTGCTGTTCCAGGAGCTTCTCTGGTTTGGTGGAATCATTATTTCTGTGGCATGGCTCAGCCTAACTAGGCCTTTTTGGTGCACACCATACTCAGGGATGCATCTTCCCTCATCTCTCAAAATGGAACCTGGAAGGAGCATCTGACCCTTTGTTGTAAGGCTGTTTTGGCACAGTAATTTGGCACTTTGCTCTGATAAGTGCTCTCATTTCAGCTCCTACCCTGTCCTATCCTGATACATGGCCTTTTCTTTCAGAGATGCTGTGACTGTCTGCGATCACGATGCATTTGTTAGTGAAGCCTTGGATCTCCCTGACTTCCAGACTCGTGTGAAGGAGTGCAGAGAGAACCTGTCTGCTGTACCAGGTAAGGATCAGCAACTTGTCTTGGATCAGTGTAATGGAGTAGGAGCATCAGGGCACAGCAGGACAGGAGTCAGGTCCCAGCTCTGTCATGGACAATGAGCAGAGTCCTTGTTTGTCCACCTTTGGATATCACAGACAGGTAGGGTTTGGAAGGGACCTCTGGAGATCATCCAGTCCAGCCCCCTGCCAGAGCAGGATCACCCAGAGAAGATCACACAGGAACATGTCCAGGCAGGTTTTGAATGTCTCCAGAGAAGAAGGCTCCACAACCACTCTGGACAACCTGGTCCAGTGCTCTGTCACCCTCAAAGTAAAGAAATTTTCCTTTATGTTCCAATGGAATTTTCTGTGTTCCAGTTTGTACCCACTGCCACTTGTGTTGCAGGGCACCTCTGAAAAGAGTTGGGCTGCATCCTCTTTGACACCTGCCCTTCAGATATTTGTAAGCATTAATAAGGTCCCCTCTGTCTTTTCTTCTCCAGGCTAAACAGACCTGGCTCTCTCAGCCTTTCCTCATAAGAGAGATGCTCCAGTCCCCTCATCATCTTTATAGTCTTCTGCTGGACTCTCTTCAGTAGTTCCATATGTTTCTTGAACAGGGAACCCAGAACTGGACACAATATTCCAGATGTGGCCTCACCAGGGCAGAGTAGAGGGGGACAATAACCTCCCTCGACCCGCTGACCACACTCTTCTTAATGCACCCCAGGATACCATTGGCCTTCTTGGGCCGTGAGGGCACATTGCTGGCTCATGGTCAGCCTGCTGTCCACCAGGACTCCTAGGTCCTTCTGTGCAGAGCTGCTTTCCAGCAGGTCACCCCCTAACTTGTACTGGTGCATGGAGGTTATTCCTCCATAGGTGCAGGACCCTACACTTGTCTCTGTTGAACTTCACTAGGTTCCTCTGCACCCGACTCTCAAGCCCATCCAGGTCTCTCTGAATGGCAACACAGCGGTCTGGTGTGTCAGCCACTCTTCCCAGTTTTGTATCATCAGCAAACTTGCTGAGGGTGCACTCTGTCCCTTCAAGGTCATTGATGAACATATTAAATAAGATTGGACCCAGTACTGACCCCTGAGGAACACCACTAGACACAGGGCCCCACCTAGACTCTGCACTGCTGATCACAACTGTCTGAGCTCTGCCATTTAGCCAATTCTCAATCCACATCACTGTCTACTAGTCTAACCCACACTTCCTAAGCCTACCTATGAGGGTGCTATGGGAGGCAGTATCAAAAGCCTTGCTAAAGCCAAGGTAGACAGCATCCACTCCTCTCCCCTCATCTACCTAGCTAATCACGCCATCATAGAAGGCCATCAGATCAGTCAAGCATGATTTCCTCTTGGTGAATCCATGTTGACTGCTTCTGATAACTTTCTTTGCCTCCATATGCTTAGAGATGGCATACAGAATTAGCTGTTCCATCACTTTTTCAGGGATGGAGGTGCGGCTGACCGGCCTGTAGTTTCCTGGGTCCTCTGTCTTGCCTTCTTTGAAGACTGGGGTGACATTGGCTTTCATTCAGTCCTCAGACACCTCTCCTGTTCTTCATGGCTTTTTAAAGATGATGCAGCAATAACATCTGCCAGCTCCCTCAGCACTCATGGATGAATCCCATCGGGGTCCATGGATTTGTGGATACTGAGCTTGCCTAAATGATCTCTAACCTAAACTTTCTTGACCAAGGAAATGGCTTACTCCATACTTTCTCACTTACCTCCAGGGCCTAGGATTCTTGAGGTGCAGCCTTTGCAGTAAATACTGAAGCAAAGAAGACATTGCAGTCATGCAAGGATGTGCAGTGCTAAGACTGTTATGTTTTCTTGATGGTGCTCATTCTTCTGTCTTCCCTTGTAAACCTTTCTGCTATAGGAGAGCCAGAGGCTGAAGGAGGCAAAAATGAACATGCTGGACATATAGGCTCTGGAGTTACTAGGCTGTTGAATTAAGTGATGTCTGAATGGGCAATATGTGGATAACATTTACTTACAAATCCTTGTTGTCTGTTTTCTCCAGGAAATGTGGGTTCTTATCCTGAAATTGTGTTCTTGGGAACAGGATCTGCCATTCCAATGAAAATCCGAAATGTCAGTTCCACGCTAGTAAACACCAGGTAAATCTCAGTGTCGTGCATTCTGCTTGGAGAGGTTCGGTGTCTCAAGAAGGTGTCACCCAAGGGCTGTTGTGACCAGTGTGTTGATGACACAGGGAGAGTGCCCCTATTGTGTAGTCTGTACGGCTTTGGTTTCAGGCACCAGGGAAGGGTGGGGTGTCTTTCAGGTGGGGAAGACTTAGAGCCACCTGTAAAGACAAAAAATTAATGTCTTCATTCATTTTACCATCTGCCTCAAGGATGTGTTCAACATCAACACAAGGCCAGGATGAGTTATGCAGACAGAAGAGTCTTTCTAAAGCCTTGGCTAGTAGGACTGGAGTAGCATTTAGAGGTGTAGAGCACTGATAGCTCTCTGCCTTCCAACCCAAAAGATTCTTCTCCCTGAATAGGCCCTGGTCAGAGCTCATATAGTGGCTGCTAAATGTCTTTGTCACTTTTCTTGCCAGCTCTACCCGATCTCTGCTCTTGGACTGTGGAGAAGGAACATTTGGACAGCTCTGTCGCCACTATGGAGAGCAAGTTGACCAAGTGCTGTGCAACTTAGCAGCTGTGTTTGTGTCTCACATGCACACTGATCATCATTCGGTAGGTTGAGTGTGTTGGAAGGAGAAGAGGTTCTGTGCAGGCATGCTTAGGTGTTGGGGATTCAGATGTAGCTGCAGCTGATGAATGCAGGCTGCTGTGCTGTTAGGGCTGCACCTCCCCTCTGCACCTCCCCAGGCACTACTGAATCTGTGTTTCTAATCCCCTCTCCTTCCTGTTAGGGATCCCTGCAGGCTTGCCAGGATCATCCACTGTAATTTTTTAGCTGTGTCCAACCCAGTTTCCTTCAGTGCTTTGCAGTAAACAGTCACAGAACGGCCAGCTGGTCTGGGCCTGATCAGGGCAGGCTGTTTACTTGTCTGCTCTCTTGTCTGGAAACCACACAGAGTCTATGATGTTGGGCAGCGACTTTCTGCTCCCCTCCCTCCAGACACGGCAGCACTGGGAAGGGTTGAGGGGCTTTGTGTTGTGGGCTGCTGGTCACCAGCTTGGGGGCGTAAGCAGTGACAGTGCTACCACAGCTCAGAAAGTTGTGGTTATTGGAAAAGCAGTAATCATATTTCTGACTACAGGTTTTCCAAAATCTGCAGCTTTCTGAGCTGCGGTGGCACTGTTGCCACTTAGCCCCAGATATTCCTTACTACAGCTCGCTGTCTTGTTTGTTCCATTTGCAGGGGTTGTTGAACATCCTGATGGAGAGGCGGAGAGCTTTTGTAAGTAGTCCTGTTGTTTCACTGCTCCTGAACTTGCCTTGGAGTGAAGAGAGGGGGGGGTGGAAATTCCTGAGCAGTGGAAAAGCACCATCTTTTCCCTAGGTATTTCGTTGCTGATTTGGTGTGTATCTGGTGCTGATATTCCCTCCCCCCGTCTTTGCTTTTGCAGGCAGCCCTTGGTCAGGCTTTCAGCCCTCTGTTTCTGGTAGCACCTGAGCAGATCATGCCTTGGCTACACGAGTACCACAGCCACTGTGAAGAGATTCTCGGAGACATCAAGTGAGTGTTCTGTGTGGTATGTAGAGAAGTGTCCTTGCTGGGTCCTTATTTAAGGCAAACTGCTGTCATCTGTTCACTCCACCCCTTTGTTGAGGGCAAATCAGAGTCCTTCCATTGTCTGTAAAATTAGGATGTGCAGTTTGCAAAGGGGAGGATAGAGTTTGTTACTTAGTTTTTTTACTTAATAGAGGCTTACATGCAGACTTTCATTTTCCTTAGGAGAGGGGAGCTGGGCAACTCAAAAAAGATTCCTGAGAGTGTTTGACAGTGGGAAAGGAGTGGTTGGATGAGTTACTGGGCACTGGATAATGAAAGCAAGGGGAAAAACAGAGAGGTGGACAAAAATGTCTTGTTTGTGAGGCGCTGAACTGAGAAGGAGAAATAGGCTGCTTAAAGATAAGATCAGGTCCTTAGTTATCTCTTCTCCCCTCCCTCACAGAATGATTTCTTCCCAGTCTCTTGTGAAAGGCTGTGAGAACATCAAACCTAAAGTGAAATGGTTTGTCAGTTCTCTGTTAGAGAGCTACGACTTAGCTGAGGTAAGCTCACAAGCTGGCAGGGTCAGTTGCTATGAGGGCAGAAGGGGACCTGAGGTCTAACACTTGTATCCTTGTTCAGTTTCAGACTTGTGAAGTCCAGCACTGTAAAAATGCTTTTGCATGTTCAATGATCCACAAATCTGGCTGGAAAGTAGTCTATTCTGGTGACACAATGCCCTGCATGTCCTTAGTACAAATGGGTAGGTGACAAAAACCCTCTACTTGAAGAATGTCTTGGAGAAAGGTCTTGAACTGTTAGTATCCCAAGTGTGCACCCCCAAACCCTTGGTGCTATGCCTGCAACACAATGAGGGGCTAAGGGAGGGAAATGAGAATTCGTGTGGGCAGTTGAACTAGTCTATATTCAATTGAAGGTTGAATATGTGATTATTTACACAGGTAAAAATGCTAACCTGCTGATCCATGAAGCAACATTGGAAGATGGCATGGAAAAAGAAGCTATAGAGAAGACACACAGGTGGGTTGTGTTCTTCTGTCTATCACCATTAGGAAGGCAAAGATGCTAAGCTGGGTTTTGGCCTTGGAGCTGGTGGGGAAGGGCCCAAGCCCTATAGATGGTTCTGGTGTTTGTACAGCTCTTCAGCCCTAAAAATGGTGTATGGCTCATTGTACCAGCTCTGTAGCCCTGACAGCTCCTCCAAACATTCCCAAGGAAAGATGGGAAAAGCTTTTAAGTAGACAGTAGTAACTCTACAAATAAACTAGCTTGAAGGAAAGGCCCTCTGCTTGATTACATTTGAGGACTAAGCTCAGGAGGCAGAAGAGCCATCTTACCCCACAGCCAACCATGCAACTCAAACTGAGCACTGCAGCCAGTGATTCATAGAGTTGCCCCCAGCAAAAATGGGGACACCTGAGAGCAGCCTCTCAGAATTACCTGTGAGTTACATTGCAAGAGAGCTGGACTTTCTGGCATCACGGGGACAAGTGTTTGAATAAGCCCTCTCCCCAGTTTGTGGAGCCCATAAATGCAGAGCACCAGGTAATTACAGCTGCTTTCCTACACTCAGTCATGTGGAAATCAAACACTTGCCTCCAGTGCAGGTTGCCAGAGGAAAAGGTGCCTGGGTGTGCCTGCAAAGAGCATGTGCTCAGTACATGTCAGATAGCATCTGATGTTGGCTGTTGGGATGTGACCTGAGATGCAAAGCAGCCTGCCCTGCCCTGCTCCTGTAGGGTGCAGGGGCAGCACCAGTCAGCCTGGGTGTGACTAGGGGACACAGTGCCACAGTTCCTGTTCCTTTTGCAGCACAACTTCCCAGGCGATTCAGACTGGGATGAAGATGAATGCAGGGTTCATCATGCTCAATCACTTCAGTCAGAGATATGCCAAGATCCCGCTGTTCAGTGAAGACTTCAGTGAGAAGGTTGGAATTGCGTTTGATCACATGAGAGTAAGTTGGGAGCTTTGAGCCAGACTGTGGGAAAGGTTTCGGTGTTACTTTGGGATGGCTGCTCATGAATTAAATTCTCCACTTATAACGTATCGATACACCATCTCCTGAAGAGCAGTCTCCTCTGAAACAGCTCTTTTTACTGCTGGCAGGAAACATTGCCAATGTGGGGCAGGGGTGGCACAGAGCAAGATGTGCTGGTGGCTCTTGAGAACAGAAGTCCATTCTTAACGTACTGGGTACTTGCCTCATGTCACCTCTATTCTGTGCATGCTATTCCCAGTTGAAAACCTAGTTTTACTGCCATTCCCACTCCCTTCGTGATTGGTGTACTGCTTTAATGGCCTTCTGCAAAAGACGTCCAGGAGCCAAAAGCTGTTGCCATTGGATTGAACACCATCTTAGCTGTGAGAACAGCGCACTGCTCAGTCAAAACTTGCACAGCGTCCACATCATTTCTTGTGAAGAAAATGTAAATAATTTGGCACAGGGGATGTATGTGGACTGACTGCTGTAGAGCTGGAAATGATGTCCTGCCCACTGGTGTCAGTGCAGCTGAAAACTGTCAGTGGGGTCAGGGCTCCCCTGTGCTGGGTGCTGTGCAGAGGAGGCAGCGCCCTGCCATATGGACAGGCAAAGATGGGCGAGGAAGGAAAACAAAACACAATTCTGATGCAGGTGCTCCTCTGCTTGATGTATTTCAGGTACGTTTTGGTGACTTTCCGACCATCCCAAAGCTGATCCCGCCTCTGAAGGCTTTGTTTGCAGATGACATAGTAGAAATGGAGGAGCGTAAGGAAAAACGTGAGATGAGGCTTCTGAAGGAGACTGCTATAGCCTTGGACAAACTGGCTGGTGGTGAGAACAAGGAAGCACCATGCCAGAAACGGAAACAAGACAAGAAACAACAGGAAGTACTAAACAAGAAACTTAAAACAGTCAACTGAAAGAAACAAGGTTGAGAACACTCTGTTCTGCAAGAGGTGCCTTGCTCTCTGCAGCCTTCGTGAGCATGCAGTGCTGCAGGCACCATGGAAAAAGGGGCTGGCCTCAGCGTCAGGGTTCGCTTGGTCATCAGTGGATCTCTGTGGGCTGAAGCTACCAAGCGTGCTGTTAGCAGCATGAGTTCTTGTGACAACAGTATCTGCCCGTACAGTTCATGTTTCTGGGTCTCACCAGTCCATGTGTCATTTTTTCTTTTAGCCAAAAGTTCTTCTTTTTGAATGGTTTTAATTTTTGGTTTTATGCTACAAGCTATTGATAAAGTAACAGCAGCAGCTGTGACCTATGCAAGAGATTGGGTTTCAGAAGCCCTTGAGGGGCCATGGATTCACCAGAATAAAGTGGGCAGGTCTCTGGGTTATGAGGAATGTAACTAGGTATCAGAACCCAGACCCATAGCAGGAAATTTAATAATAAAATGAGACCCAGCTAATTTTTAGATTAAATTAGGGATGTGAATGCTGCTGTCTTCCCATTTTATTTTGGTTTTCTAAGCTGATTTTTTTTTTTCATAAGATCAGTTTTTCCAAAAACCTTTATTTAGAATCTGAATAAACCATTCACATGGTACAGAAGGCTGTGTCTGTCGAGGTCACTCAAAAGGACTTAGTGAGGGAAAACAAATACCTGAATTGCTCTGGAGCATGACCTCAGGTGCCTATTTCTGGATTACAGCATTGGTGTAAAGACCAAGATCTCACCCTGGTGCTGGATCCTCGTGCCTATTCTGCCTGTGCTTCGTGCCAGCACAATCATACCTGCCTTTGTTCCTCTACAGCTGGGAGCTCCAGCGTCAGTTAAAGCTGGCAGTGGCTGGGCAGGGAGTTTGAAATGGCTCCAGAGCAGACAACTGCGAGTTTGCTCAAGCAAAGTCTAGTTCTGGATGCAGGGGACAGGAAAGCTGGCAAAGCAGGTAGATATGGGGAAGGTCTGTGGTTAAAAGGAATGTTTTTGAGGTTTTCTGCTTTGCTTCTTCCCATAGAAGTGCTGTAACTGCATGTTTGGAAGCAAGAAGTGGAGCTCTGTGCTGTTTCAGTTAAGAAGCTCATTTTCAGAGGCAACTCAAAGGCATCCAGCCCCCAAGCACTGCTCAGCAAATGATACCAGCCCATATTAAAGACTTAATTTTAAGGTGATGAAAAATTAAGACACAAACTGGCACCAAAGCATCTTTTGTCGATTTGCTGCACTTTGATATTGTGATTGTCTAAAGCAGAAACTGGGTAATTGGCACAGCTGTGTGCTACAAAAAACTTCTGCTGGGCTTTTAAGAATAACTGGGGAAAGATGAAGCAAGTACTTGTTATTGTGCAGGTGTAAAGAGATCAGAGTGGAGGGCATGGTTGCAGCTGAGGTAAGACAAGCAGCCTCTGGCCTGCACAGCATCTCCCATGTTTCTTTTCATAGAAGTAAAAAAACAAACCAAAACAGAAGCTATTTTAGAAAATAATGAACTGCTTTCCCATAGAGCTATTTCTGAAGTACAAACACACCTGTGTTAGGAGACCATAGCTCTCAAAATCTCCAGCTCCAGGTGGCTGATGCAAGTACCGTGCCGTGGAGCAACACGATACGAGGTTGTGTTCTTCTGTGCCTGGTGTAGAAACATGACCCAGGCCTGTGCCACTTGACTTGCCCCCCTCAGCGACTGGGAAACGAACTACCTCTGGGGCTGCTGAGCCGTGCCGGCCTAAGGAAGAACTGGGCTACGAGGGGGAAAACTGGCGCGAAACCTCCGTCCGGGGAAGCTGCATCCCCGCGGCGGGCTACGGACCGGCCCGCTGCCTGGCGGAACACCGAGGGCGGCTCTGCGTAGTCCCCTCCTGCCCGGGCCGCGTACCCTGGGCAACGGCGGCTCCTCCCCGCAAACATCCGCGGCTACCGGGCTGATGGAGGAGGAGGAAGAGGAGGCGGTGGTG